TTTTTTTACTTACAAATTATTCGAGATTAGTCAAGGCAATTATATCATGTATGAAAGGACTCTTTCAATTCAAAACCCCATACAATGAATTCATACTTAATTCAGACACGAATTTAATTTGACTATAATCACTTTCAATCAGCAGGTGTTTTAAATTTTTCTACGGTACTCATTTAGCTTCATTTGACTTATCTCAATGTTTTGCTCGAATTTCGATAGAATCATTCTACATGAACGAATATTATTCCAGGTGGAATATTTTGCAATCCGTTCTTCTGATTGGTTCTCCAAGTGTAGACTATTCACTGATAGAGCACGGTAGCAAGTGCGATGCTATTGAAAGGGAAACTTGATTTTTTTGCTGCAAATACATGAAATGTAGTTTTCAGTGGAATGCTAGCCTTCAGAATGTGTTTTGAAACAATTACGTTAGTCGCCTACGCTTTTATCAGTATTATATTATATTCGCTCATGGAAAACTTGGGCTCATTCAGTGTAAAATAATTCTTGGTGTTCGTGTCGTCGCGTGAATATCTCCCAATATAAAAGGGAGATACAGTATATATATTTTTTACAAAAGCGTCACTTACCACGCATTTCTTTAATCTACGGGCTCTTAGAATCTTGGATGACCACTTGAAAAGCTTGCGAATCGCAAACCGAGGGTTTTTCCACTGATCCATTGCGAGTGAATTATTGAATCGATATAGCATACCAGAACTTTCTTTCCCATTCCGGGAGATAGGTCAGTAAGTGCATTAAAAGCAGTCAGTGAAAAACTCAGAAAAGTTCATCTGTTTCGAGACATTTAGGAGTAAATCTTTGCCAGGGTGGGGACCTTTGTCGACTACTCGTCTCTTGGTCGTCACTTACACTGTAATCACACTCCTTAAGTAGAGTGTGAGTAGACTGATCAAACATTACTGCTCTTACATATACGCCGGAAATGTGCGCTGAATTCTTTCGTTCGCCAGCACTAGATGGCCAATATGGCCTCTGACAAGGCACACCTAGTGAGAGAAACGTATGACGCGTGGTGCAGCCTAAGATAATAAGAGTTTTATTTAGCCATGAGACCATGATTAAGAGTTGAGTGACTCATTTGACTAGTTTGTCATTTTTTTCAGCTTACTTCTCATCTTCTTTGGCTTCTCCTTCTCTTTCTGAAGATTCAGTTTGCTGTTTATTGCTTAATGTTATACAATCCCTTGCAGCGATGGTGAAATTTAAACAGACATTGAAAGGTAATGGAATCCAGCTAGCAAGGCGTCGGCCCAACTTCATCTTTGCACACAAGAGGAAGCAATATCATTCCAAGTTGTTTATTTATGTGTGGACATTATAAGAGGCCCTTGTATGTGGCTTACCTTGAAAACATACCGTGATACACATCACGATAAACAACATCAGAGAAAATTTGAAATTAGGACCTTTCCACCAGTGGTTTTCATGACATGATTTTCAACTCGCAAAGATAGTCCCTCCGTCTGCCCCATATAGACATTTAGTCTGAAGGGTGTGTGACGTTGAGAAAGTGTCATTTACGAATAATGGAAAGCTTCAGAAAAGTTATTTCGTTAATGTATGTATTTAAGGAAAATTAATTAAAGTACCGTATTGAATCATCGTCCGGTATTCTTTGCCTTTTTTCACACGCCGATTTATAAAGAGGCCTCGGAAACAACTGGGTAGTTCGGTTTCACCGCGGGTGGTCTATTTTTGACGGACAAAACAAGACCCATATAAACCGCGGATGGTCTTACAAGGGTTTGTAAACGTCTTCTTCCGTTTCCTGATGGAATTTCGACGTCTCGTCACGTAAGGGTCAAATATATCAAAGATTTCATCTCACAACACTGTTTCATTTTCTTAGGTATTTTAATTTTTTGTTTCGTCTCGTTTCGTTTTCTTTCATTTCCTTTAGTTTCATTTTACATCTTGTTTTTCTTTTTCTTGTCTGGTCTCTCAACTCGAGCATCTTCCAGCAGGACAGGCGGCTCCGCCGACATAGCGGTTGAATGTTCGATGCATGCGCAGTTCCCACCAAAAGCCAATACCACATTGTCCTAATTTTATCAAACACTAATATCAAAAAAAATTCACACGCGTTCAATTTCGAACAAAAATTATCCATAAACATTACGTAGCCTTAGATTGAGTAGTGTGGATGAAAATGCTCGATGCAAATTATCAGGGACGGACCATTATTTTTTGAGAGAAGAGGGAGGGGTTGGATAATTTGCAGGGGCGTGAAATTTTTTTTTTTTCTCACCTTTGAGCTGTACATTACAGTCGAACTTCCACTAACGACCACCTGCCTGCAACGGCCATCTCTCTACAATGGCCACCTCTGTACAACGGCCCCTTTTTTTCGTCCCGACGGATGGTCCATACATTTACTCTTATTTTAACTTCTCTACAACGACAACGGCCACTAAAACGCGTCCCAACTGCCAAAATAACTTTGACTATTTTAAATCGCAATTTGTAGAGTTAAATACGTTCATTTTTAAGGTCCGGTAATACGGGCAACATTTCTCTTCAACTTGTCTCGCAACATTGTTGCATTGTAAGTTGAAACACATTGTTGCGCGTATTACCACGTTTGTGACCAACTTGTCTCGCAGCAAAATACAGTGTTGCAAGCTTGCAGAATTCTAATATTTGGTTAATCGTGTGTAAATAAAGATGGCGCCTTCTTTAATATAATTTAGCATTTCGACGAAGTTCCACTTCGACTTCTGGCCGTCATTTTCTTCATAATTTTCCGTGCCGGCGAAGTTCTCTCAGTATGAAGCTCAGTGTCGTTTCAGGTAGCTAGGCGAAAAGTTATATTTTTGCGACAGTTCTTCCAAGCCTTTTGCCTTTTTTCCTCCTTGTTTTGAAGGGACAAACGAGGCGTCCCAAAGACTGTGATAGCCCTCGAGGTCTTTGTACAAGGCAAATTTATGACTTAACGAGAGTTACTGGTCTACTTCGAATTCAGGCTCGTGTTCACCGTCCGTCGTGTTTTTCTTTTATTTGCCTCGTTGCCACGCTTCGCGACAGCCAATCACAAGCGTAGAATTCAAATTTGTTGCGAGACAAGTTGTAGTTTCAGTGGTAATACGAGCAGCAAAACTAAAATTTGTTGCAGAAAGTAGAACTCGAGTCTACTTTGCGCAACATGTTGCCTCAACTTGCAACGCTGTATTTTGCTGCGAGACAAGTTGGTCACAAACGTGGCATACGTGCAACAATGTGTTTCAACTTGCAGTGCAACAATGTTGCGAGACAAGTTGAAGAAAAATGTTGCCCGTATTACTGGACCTTAATTCAAATTAAAGTAAAGACATTTAGCTAAAAGTTACACTCTTTTTTGTACTGCAACTATGAATCGAATGGCCTTTACGAGTATTCGCGAGCATGCGAGCAGTGCGTTTATTTCTGAGCATGAGCTGTGATCAAATTTGTCTTGCGAGCAGCGAGCACTTTAGAAAATACAGATGGCGAGCAACGAGCAGTTCGTAAATTTTCCGCTGGACGGAATTTCTCTCTTATCAAAAGGAAACATTTTGCACCAAGTAATCTGGCTGACACCGTTCAAACAATGCTAGCAGCGTACAGCCAACTGCTCTGTTGAATGCCAAATTACGTCACTTCGCTTCACGTGAGCTTCAGTAAAATAAAATAAAATAAATAAATAAATAAATATATTAGCTTTGTTTAACGAGGGTAACACACAACAGTCTTACGACTGACAAACCCGTGACCCTCGAATTCCCGATCAAATTGGTGCGTTACACTAGGTGGACGCTCAAGGAGATCTAAAGCTTTCTAATCTGACGTTGAGAACACTACTCGAGAAGAAGCTAAATTTTACCAGACTTTGAAGTTTGCAACATGGAAGGTTTTTTTGGTTATATTATTCCCAGGAAATGCCGAGTAAACAACGTGGCATTTAGTCTAACAAGCATTTCGAGTTTCGGTTTCGATTATCGGCAAACTGGTTTCCAACTGAGTTACTAAAAAAGATTCAAAGCAACGGAAGCTTTATTTGGAGGCTTCAAGGATCTAACCGATTGAGCTCTGACAAGCTCTGAAGGTCGAATAGTAATAGTAATACTCTACATGTTCTCATGTCTCTGGATTACTTTCTACCTTTGGGGATGCCTTTCGCGAAGAATTTACGCGCGTCAGTTTCAATAAAACGTCACCAAAAACGAGGAAGCATAACGTGTGCATGCTTCTCCCATGTTTCCCAGTTTTGCCATACGGTAATTAAGCACATTTTAACGAGAATCCGAGCATGCGAGCAGTGGCAAAAATTTTGCGAACTCGAGCAAGCGAGCACTCATGTAATTTTTGCGAGCAATTCAAGCAAAGGCCAAATTTTGCGAGCACTTTAAAATTGAACGGGACCATTCTATACCCCTTATAATGATTGCCATCCAATATCTTTACCATCACTTCTTTCGGTTTGTTGTTGTTTTAAAATTTCCTCTGTAGTACCCAGGTCCTGGACGAGTCTTTTTTCTCAATAAAATAGTAAAAATGATCGATAAAATATTTGGCTGTTGTATCCTCGAATCTGTTGTAGAACCAGTAGAAATGAATTTGCTCTTTTGATGTATTTTTTGCTCTTCGATGCAATTTTGCATATCAATCATCTTCAACGGAATAAAGAACAACAGCGGAGCCTATTTCTACCGTTCAGTGTAATGTTAAATTCAAAAACAAGTGTGTGGGTTTCTTAAGGCTGCAGGAATTGACCGGGGTAATTGACCAGCCTACATACAGGGTCTATAAAAGCAGGACAAAGTCGAGGACCGTTTGAAAGGAGGTTGTTTCCGCAGGTCACTCACAATCATGATAACACTTGAGCACCAAGGAAACACTCGTAATTTAATACCTATGATATCAAACACAGACGTCACAGACTGTGATGTTTAGGCAACAAAATTAATTGACTAGCAAAACGAGATGCAAGACCAATAAAATAAGAAGCCAAGGGTGGTGTGAGCGGGTAAGCGATGACTAGGTCGAAAGTGGTTGAACTTTGAAACGATCTGAAAGAATGACTACTAGATAAGGGGCGTATTCTCTCTGGTAATTATCATTCACCACCTACAGTGATCCTTGCAGCACCTCTAAGAATACGGACCACCACCACCAACAACAACAACAACAACAACAACAAACAAGACAAACAATAAAACATTGACAACATTTAACTTCTGTTACGTCGTAGATGAGAGTAGCTGAGACTGACGTTTGTTTTCTCTTTCTTGCGTGACTGCTCTGCTCTACCTGTCACGAAAATTGTTACCGTTGCATTATTTTTTTTGGATCTCGTGACCAGGACATGACATTAAGTTACAGCAAGAGATTATTCTTTTGGTTACAGCGATGTCTACTTTGATTTTCTTTTCAGCCTTGATTTGGCTTGGTTCAGGCTTTGAGTGCAACCTCAAAGATTCAACAAGGTCGGAAGAAGATAAATTACAGATCCATCTTGTTCCCCACACTCATAATGACGTTGGCTGGTTGAAAACTGTCGACGAGTATTTTTATGGCGCAAATAATTCCATTCAGCACGCTGGAGTGCAGTACATTTTGGACTCTGTTATCCCTCAGTTGAGTGCAAACCGGACAAAGCGATTTATTTACGTGGAAATTGCGTTCTTCGAGCGCTGGTGGAAAGAGCAAAACAGAGCCATGCGTAGGGAAGTGAGGAAACTGGTTAAAGAGAAAAGGCTGGAGTTTATAAACGCTGGATGGTGTATGAACGACGAGGCGGCAACACATTACAATGCGATCATTGATCAAATGACTTATGGACTGAATTTCGTGCAGAGGACATTTGGATCGGATGCAAGACCTCGCGTAGCTTGGCACATCGATCCATTTGGTCACTCGTCCGAACAAGCATCACTCTTTGCTCAGATGTCATTCGATGCTTTCTTCCTGGGTAGAATCGACTATGCAGATAAAAAGCTTCGCCTCGAGCAACAGAGAATGGAGTTGGTCTGGAGAGGGAGCAGAAATCTTGGACAAGATTCTGATATTTTTGCAGGGGTGCTCTATAACGTCTATGCCCCTCCGCGTGGATTTTGTTACGACCAATCATGCAACGATACCCCGGTACAAGACGATCCGAGACTCTTTGATCTCAACGTCAATGAAACTGTAGAAAGATTTGTGAATGTAACATGCAAACAAGCATCGCAGTATAAAACAAACCACATCATATTGACCATGGGTGAGGATTTCCAGTACGAGAATGCCAACACGTGGTACAAAAATTTGGACAAACTCATCAGATATCTGAAAGAAGTAAGTATAATGCACAGAATGAGAGTTTGACGTAAGCATTTTTTTTTGCCCTGGTTCGAGCGATTCCTGGCTCCCAGGCTCCTTTCATTGCTGCTTAATGGTGACTAACTTGTCACGTAACGAAAAGAGTTTTAGCATGCTTGTTTTTCTATAGCCTGCGTAGCAGACGTTTCATATTCATTTTCCAGGCAAGGAGAACGAGAAAGCGAGGAAGCAAACGAGTGCGCCTTGGACTGAACATAAAATGGGGAGAAGTGGGGATGGGGTGAGAAAAAAAAAAGGAGGAGAAGGGGAACGGGGTGGGGAGGAAAGTAGACCTTAATTTTTTGCCCCAATCTCCTCCCCCTGCGCCTTATTTTTCCCTACTCGCTCGCAGTTTCGTTACCTTCGCGTGCTTTTGGAAATGAACGAATGAATGAATTTTCTAGATCTACCGCAACATTTTCTACAGCCTCTATCCGTATCCACACGTGAAAACCGATCTCCTGTCCATTTCATGTAGTTTCCCTTGTGACCCGGGATAGCAAGCCTTTCATGTGATCCGGACTAACTTGTCATATACCAGGGCGCTGACCGGGGAGAAAATCTCTCCGTAGCCGCTATAACCTGTCATATACAAAGGGGCTGACCGGAGAGGAAAGCTCTCGGTAGCCGCTATATCATTAAATGTTAACTATTTATACTACGGAGTCATCATTCCAAGAAACGGTACGTCAGTCCTACTTTTCAGTTAAGGTTACCCATGTCTCCAGGCTAAAGGAGTGAAGGAGTTTGGATTTCAAGGTAGATACTGCAATCTCGTATAACAGTTAAAGGTTATAAAATTATCCACAGTACAATGGTTTCAGTTTCTTTCTATTTGGAGCATTCCGTACTATTCCATGACCCAATTAAATGAGTTATCTAATGTGAAGTTTATATGAAATAATTCATATATGAACTGCGGTAGTAGATGAAAGTGAAGAATGATCATCGCAGCAGATTTTCGAATTTGGGGAATGTGTGGCTTCATAGCTCAGTTGGTAGAGCATCGCACCGGTATCGCGGAGGTCACGGGTTCGAATCCCGTTGAAGCGCTGATTTTTTCAAGCTTCTTCTTTCCAATTGCTTAAATTCGAAAATCTGCTGCGATGATCATTCTTCACTTTGAGTTATCTAAGTAAGCGTCTTTTTCTCTAAGAGCTCTAACTCGAAGCGATTAATTTAAGCGAGAAAACCTGATTATTTCTGAAAAAAAGTCGCCCTGTTTGAGTATCTCGATTAGTTTAAAGTTCGTAAAATATTGCCATTGAGCAACAAAGCCTGAGTGAAGTCTTGCGAATACTGAGCGGCCGTAACCGTGAAAGCTTTGAGCATTTTGAAGTCCTAATACGGTTCTTGTTCCGGGATTGTTTGTCCGTGTTCAAGATCATTCCAACAAAATCCTTGTGAATATAAGCCTGATAAGCTCTTCAAAGATCGCTGTTGGTTCAACAAGAATTTCGAGGAAACAACCCACAGAATCAATAAAATCTTCAATACCATAACCTTTCGTCAATGGTGACTCGATTTCAAGATGGTTTTCTTTAAAAGTTTGTCATGTAAACTTGACATTTGAGCGAAAATAGATCAAATTTGGCTTTTGAAGGCACTTCCTTGAGCTTACTTGGTATTCACGTGAGGAGGAAATCGAAAATGGCAAAGTTTCGCAAACTACAGACAATGTACTGCAGACGAACAACCGAGAGGTCGAACCTGTGGTGACTTACTGGAGCTGGTCCTTTACGAGAGGTCAGCCTGCATGTAGGGAGTGTAACTTTTAATTGCGACCGCTAATCGCGCGTTATTATTATTATTATT